GAGAGAGAGAGAGAGAGAGAGAGAGAGAGAGAGAGAGAGAGAGAGAGAGAGAGAGAGAGAGAGATGTGTTTGAATCATACTTGCAGCGTATCTCATGCGCAGGGTGCCGCACGCACATGCACGCATGCACAAGTGATGCGGTGCATTAAAGAAATAGAAAAACAAAAATGTCCTAGTTGTGTCCAGCCTCTTTTCGGAAGGATCCTTACAGCATATTAGCTAGGACCCGACGTCATGCAGAGATACACTTCGAACTTGTACTCCCTGAGGGTGGGGAGAGAATATATAGTCTGGATTCGAATTCAGGTCTGTGCATGTCTGTTATGGGTCACCATTTCTCTGTTTTTCGCTTTTCTTTTCTTTTCTGTTTTTTCTTTTCTTAGGAATACGTGCAGTGGCCCTAAGGGCCTTTACTCACCACAAATGCACAAAAGACAAAACAATGAAAACATATGGTGGAAAAGACAAAACAATGAAAACATATGGTGGCATATTATTCCACGTTCTGCAGAAGATTCATTCTAATTTTGCACATTTCGTGAGTAGTGCAGCCAAGCCCTAAGAGTCACGTGCAGAGACCAACAGGCCCTAGCTATGTGAGCAACCCATGACTGCTGAAACACAGACCTGAATTCGAATCTTGAGTATATATTCGGCCAGCTCGTGCTCTATTTCATATGCACTGGGGCTGCCTAGAACCATTTGTAGAGTTCATGCCTGGCCGGGCAAGTGGGCGTGTATCTGGGCACAAGTTGGGTGCCTGGGCACCTGGACAAACAGCCTAGATATTTTATTCATTTAATAATTTTTTAGGCTCAATGTGAAATTAATAATTGTAGAATACTTTGTTAGTACACGAAACTCAATGGAATAAAACAATGAAAATATCATGGTAACCGTCCGGCATTGTAACCCCGGACCCGGACACCGGACACTTCCGGACTGCCTTCCGGACCAGTGTCTAGACCGGTCCGGACTGTCCGGTGATCCGGACAATACCGCACACCCGGACATCACCGGACCCAGACAGTCCGGGTCGGTACCAGGGGTGCACAAATGTCCGGACCAAAAAAAAAAAAAAACAAAAAAAAACGGGGGTGGGCAGGGGTGTTGGCAGGCACCAGGCAGCAGAGCACGTGTCTTGCAGCAAATCAACAAGCACATTTAACTAGCAGACATGCAGAGTTGCAAACAGTGCAAAGCAGGCACAAGACTAAAGAAACAGATAATTTTTTTTTTGAAAAAAGTATGATTAACTTTGAACTTCGGATTTAGTAATTTAAGTTGATAACTTCATATACAACTTAAAAGTTCAAACTTTGCAGTTCAATTCAGAACGTCAGAGTGTTCAGACTGGCAGC